AGGAGGATCGTTTGAGCTCGGGAGTTTGAGACCAGCCTGAGCAAGAGCGAGACCCCATCTCTACTAAAAATAGAAAGAAATTAGCTGGACAACTAAAAATATGTAGAAAAAATTAGCCAGGCATGGTGGCGCATGCCTGTAGTCCCAGCTACTCAGGAGGCTGAGGCAATAGGATTGCTTGAGCCCAGGGTTGAGGTTGCTGTGAGCTAGGCTGACGCCACTGCACTCTAGCCTGGGCAACAGAGTGAGACTCTGTCTCCAAAAAAAAAATAAATAAATAAATCTAAGAAAATGTCAGATAGTTCTTATTCAAATCAGTGTGTATTGTTAGTTTGCTAGACACTCATTTTTAATTGAAAGACATAGTACAAGCGAGGTCCACTTTTTTAGGCTGCTTGGTTTGAGTTAAGTTTCAGTGCATATTAAAGTCAAATGTTAACTTCAGTCACATTTATGTGGCAATCTTTAACATTAAAGAATATAAGTATTTGAATCAGATGATAAGTAAAAGCCTGGCAAAAACAATCCTGTTGACATAAAAGACAGGATCAAATAATCTATGAGATGGTTAGTCTAGGAAAGTCAATAATTTATCTTTGGCCTTCAACAATAATTTCTTAATTTGGACTTGCAAATGAACAGGAAATATATAGGCTCTTGTTTTTTTATTTTCAGTGGATTGTACCTTTTTTTTTTTAATTCAGAGATTTTGGGGGCTGACTCAGATTTAGTTGAATTGTGAAAAAGCACTGTATGTTATAGCTTTTAATATTTAATCTAACAGATAACTGGACAAGAATAGTTATATTATGTACCCATATATACATATGTTACATAGGATGTCAGTTAAAAATAATTTTAGTCACATCCTTTTTTCCCCTCCAATTACGTCTCTTAGGGCCAAAACAATTAAGAACACAGTTTGTGTCAATGTAGAGTTAACTGCAGAACAGTGGAAAAAGAAGTATGAGAAAGAAAAAGAAAAAAATAAGATCCTGCGGAACACCATTCAGTGGCTTGAAAATGAACTCAACCGATGGCGTAATGGTAATAACTTAAGAATTTGTCATCTTAGGTTTGTTGGATACAGAGTTGAGCTAATTTTTAAATTTGAGATTTTGACATGATTGTTAATGAAAATAATAGGTTAGGTGCTGTGGCTCACGCCAATAATCCCAGCACTTTGGGAGGCCAAGGTGGGAGGATTGCTTGAGACCACAAGTTCTAGATTAGTCTGAACAACATAGTGAGACCCCCATCTCTACAAAAAATTTTTTGAAAGCAGCCTGGTGTGTTGTCCTAGCTGTAGTCCTAGCTACTCGGGAGGCTGAGGTGGGAAAATCTCTTGAGCCCAGAAGTTTGAGGTTATGGTGAGCTATGATTGTGCCACTGCACTCCAACTTGGGTGACAGAGTGAGACCCTGTCTCTGAAAAAAAAGAATGAAAAAGAAAAGAGTGGGCGCGGTGGCTCACATCTGTAATCTCAGCACTCTTGGAGGCTGAGACAGGAGGATTGCTTGAGCTCAGGAGTTTGAGACCAGCCCGAGCAAGAACGAGATCCCATCTCTACTAAAAATAGAAAAAATTAGCCGGTGTGGTGGCGTGCACCTGTAGTCCCAGTTACTTGGAAGGCTGAGGGAGAAGGATCACTGGAGCCCCCAGGAGTGTGAGGTTGCTGTGAGCTAGGATGACGCCACAGCATTCTAGCCCGGGCAATAGAGTGAGACTATCTCAAAAAAGAAAGAAAAAGAAAAGAACAAAGCATATCCATTGTTAACTTTTATGCATTTATGCATTTAGGGATCATCAGAAATGAATAAAATCTTTTATATTAAATTTTGATTTTACCTGAAATAATAAGTATAGAGGCATAGAGGCCAATGAGGAAGTCACAGATGGTAAGATACCGCAATTAAAATGGAAATAATAAAATGACAAGATTTGGTGACTAGATTTAGAAGAATGGAGGAGGGCAAAGATAATTTTAGCTCTTCAAATCTCAGGGACTGAATAGATAGGAAAGTTGATAAGAGATGCTGAAATTGAATGAGAGAGAGAGCAGGATGGTAGTATAGGATTCTCCAGAGATCACCCCATGCAGAAACATCTATTTGCATAACTAATCCACACAGAAAAATACCTTTGCAAGAGCTAGGGAAACCAGGTGAGCAATTGCAGTAACTGGTTATGGCACAATAATAAGAAAAGCTACATCAAAGAGGGTAGGAAGGATAGTTTTACGTTACCCACATTACCTCTGTGCCAGCCCCAGGCAGCACAGCATACAAAGAGATATTGTCCATTTTGGGGAAAAAGGAAAGTGAGCACAGGACTTTGCCTTGGAGCCCACCATGGTCCTACCACAGTAGAACCGGTCCAGTGGGAGCCTGCAGTTCCAGGGTTGAGGCCTGCAAGGCAGACTTCATCTTAGACTTCAGTGGCCCTGGACTTCTGGCCTGTTCAGCACTGTACCACTGCAGTGGCCCTGGGCTTCAGAACCATAACAGATGGCCTGCCTAGAATCTTTGGATGGTCTGACTATTGAAGGGCTTCTTCAGACAAAACGGTCTGTGAAGACTGGAATAAGTACTTAGGTCTTCAGATGTGCAGACATCGACACAAGCCACAATGATCAAGAACACAGTCAGGGAAGCGTGACATCATTAAAGGGATAAAATAAAGTGCCAGCACGGGCTCTAAAGAAATGGAAATATGTGCACTACCTGACAAAGACTATAAAAAACTTTTAAGGAAGCTCAGTGAACTTCAAGAAGATACATAGAGACAGTTCAGTGAAATGAGGAAAACAATAAATGACCAGAACAAGAAATTTAATGGAGACATTGAAATTATTTTTAAAAATCAAACAGAAATCTTGGAGCTGAAAAATACAATGAACAAAATGAAAAATATAGTAGAGATCATCAGCAGAATCGATCAAGCAGAAGAAAGAATGTGTGGAGTTGAAGACAGGTTATTTGGAAACATACAGTCGGAGAAGAAAAATGAAAAAAAGGAAATTGAATAAAATTAAAATTTGGTTTAGACATGTAGATTTTTATTAACCAATCTATGGTCTTATTTTAGGGGAGAAAGTGCCTATTGATGAACAGTTCGACAAAGAGAAAGCCAACTTGGAAGCTTTTACAGTGGATAAAGATATCACTATTACCAATGATAAACCAGCAACCACAATTGGAGTTACAGGGAATTTTACTGATGCTGAAAAAAGAAAATGTGAAGAAGAAATTGCTAAATTATACAAACAACTTGATGACAAGGTAGATACTGTTTGTTTTAGGTCTGTTTTGAGAATATTATTGATATAGGTACTTTTTTCTAATTAATTTCAATATCATGGGTACTTATGGTTATACATCTTTGGTTTCTGTTAACCTTTTAAAAATCACTGTATTAACAGAAAATGTAAAATAGTTTCATATTCTGTGTGGAAACTGTATGAGGGCATATCCTTTTATTCCCTCTTTTTTAAGCTAATAGAACTTTCTAAAGAAAATTTGGCATTAAAGAGCCTTAATAATATGACCTCTTAAAATCAGGGATCTGAGGACCCTCTCAAAAGATGATACAAAAGACTAGGGGAAGAGAATAGCATGGAAATCAGATGCCGCTTTGCTCATGTCAGTAATGTTAGTGTGGGAAAAATTATGAACGGAACGCAGGGACAAGACCAATAAAAAGACTAGAGGAAAATCATTTTTTTTTAAGTTGATATTTTTAGTATTTTAAGTGAGATGGCAGGTACTGAGTAGTTACATGAGCATTATTTCAGTATTAGCCTTAAACATGTTATTTTTTTTTAGCATTTAAAGTATTTAATGAATAGCTTTCATAAACTTAAGCCTTTTGTCTTACTATGTGAAAAATAAGTTACACTCACTGATAATTCCTTCTGTTTTGTCATTTTCTTAAGAAAAATTAAAATACCTATGTTGAATTTGGAGAAACGATTTTGAAGTATTTCTGGGGGAGTGGTGGTCTTACAACTTGTATTGGGAAACAATTAGAACCAGGTTGTGAGCTACATTGTTAACTGGGTATTAAAAATTCTAGGATGAAGAAATTAACCAGCAGAGTCAACTGGTAGAAAAACTGAAGACACAAATGTTGGATCAGGAAGAGGTAAGTTAAATAGTTTTCATATTGCTTCCAGAAAAGCTTTATAGTTTATCATTTTGATTTAAACATAAAAGATGAAGGAGTCTATAACACTCAGAATATGCTAATGCTTATATTTTAAAATTTTTTAAATATCTTCATGCTTTATTGTGGATATCCTATGAGATCTATACCTCATTATGGATTGAAGCAAAGC